CTGAATGCTTAGGTAGGATTTGAGGACGTAAGGAAAAAAAAGAAAAAGAAAAAAAAAAATTAAGGGCTCTTCCAACTTCCAGGTTTGCTTATCTTAGGAACTGGCTAAACAAGGACACTGTGGATTGCATCCAGTTGCTGAAGCACAGCCTGCAGTTTCATTTTAGCGGAAAGACACACTTCCAAAAGCTTTTCATATTTAGAGCAGAGTTTTACAATAATAGCAAAAACACATTAAGGCCACCCATATTGCATTGGAGGTCATGACACTAATGGAAGAGTTTTCCAAAAGAAAAATTCTCCTTTTTTTTTTTTTGTAATAATCAAAATAAATATTTTTCTTTGGCCTAATTTTGGGAAATGGCAGGATTATACAGATATTTTAAACAGACAAATCTATTAGCCAACAGCATCAACAACAAAGGAATAAAATCATCTACATAGAAACTGCTCATCTAAAATATTTAAAATTTGATAAAGGTATAAGCAACTTGAGTGGAAATTCCTGTTAAGGCAAGTTTCAGGCAGTTCTGGCAACAAGTAGCTCTCCTGATAATTAAATGAACATGTGAGTCCAGTTTTGGGAATCACAATAACAATAATAATAATAAAAGATATTAATCAACTGGAGTGAATTTAGGGGAAGGCCATCAAGCTGATGAGGGTGCTGAAGCAAATGCTTCACCAGGAAGGAGCTTGGCTTGTTCAGCCTACAGAAGTGAAGACTAACARGGGTCTGTGAACTCTTGTCCTTCACTAATGAAAATGAAGGTTATGAGTAGATCAAGTCAGACTTGTCTCAGAAGTTCAGAGTAGAAGGATAAAAGGTAATGATCATGAGACAGAACATGAGAAATTACAATTGGACACCAGGAAAAAAAAATGATTCACAAGTAGCTACTCACCAGCACAGGTTACTGAAAAGTGCTGTGCAACCTCCAACCTTGGAGATTTTCAAAACTTGACTGGACCAGAGCCTGAGCCACCAGATCTGTCTTTGAAGTTAGCCTCTGCTGAGCAGTTGGTTAGATTAGGTGGCCTTAAGTAGTCATTATGTGCATTATTTTCCTTTCTGGCTGAAGCTGTGTTCCAGCTTTGTCTAGACTTACTTTCCTCCACTACACTGTATTTGCTTATGTACTAATTTATCACATTGGGCATATTGTCCTGTATCTCTGCTCCTGGAAAAAATTTGATTAGTACTAACTATTCATGTTTTTACACAAGGCTTTCTTGACCAAATATAGCTTATATTGTAGAGTGTGTTTGCTGTATCTATGCACACATCATTCTAAAGTGTCATGCTGTGCTATCATTTTAGACATGCTTTTTGCTCTGTGTGAACAAGAATGTAYTATCCCATATATTCTACTTAGACGCTTTTTGACCACAAATACATGCAGTTTTCACTGCATATCTACATTCTCTATAGATTCACATACTCCAATAATTTGCATAAAACATTCTGATGGAAAGAAAATAGAGAACACATTGTTAAAAAGAAATCYGTTAAGAGTGCATTCCTTTCCCAGGCAATATTCTGAACAACATAATTACGATCAACATTTAAAGATGCCCATAAAAGAGCATAAATCTCATCAAAACAAATTTGCCCCAAAATGTCCTTTGCTACAGCCACCCTGAGCAACCAACAAAAGAGCTTTTTAACCACATCTGTTGAACATCAAGACAATGAAACTGGTTGTCAGCTTCCTCAACTGGCCTTGGTAGCATTCCCTGATGAGCTGACTGTCCACTAAGATAAATTTCAGTGTGGACACTGCTACGTAGGAGGCTAGCATTTAAGGCAAACTGGAACAGTTATGGTAAGTCTATGAGAATTAACATGATCTTCATGAGACCTACAGTCAAGGCCCACAGAGGGTGAGGATGGGTCTTTTTTCACTTCCTGTTTGCATCACTGTTTTCATGCTAAAAGATCACTCAGGAACTGACTGGTGGAAAATATTGTTCTTCCTCACTTGTGCCAGGAGATATTTCCACAATTGTTTCTTAAAGCTATACTRTTAGTCTTGTTATACTTATTATTCCACAAATAATCACAAGTTGCAATACCATTTGTGCAATCATCTAACTGTGTAAAAGAAAAAGAAATTCAAAAGTTTCCTTAARTGACTTTTTAAAATATCAGATTGAGAGTCTCCATGGAAATGTAAGTCCAATGCAGGTTTTTCCCTTGAGGTTCCTACTCTAATGACACTTTTAATATGTGATAATTATGCATATTCACACTCCTATTACATAGTAGTAGGCAAATGCTAATTACTGTTTGATTTCTGGAGAGCTTAGATAGTTATGGACAATCTTGAAACTTCTTAAATTCTATGAGGTATATGTGTGCTGAAATTCATGTTGAAGAGAAGCCTGGAAGATGTAACTCCTCTTTCGCTATTCAGATTAAGAAAGACAGCAATTAAAATGCAAATTACATGCATAGCTATTTTAATGAAGGGAAGAAAAACAATTATATTGTTTAATATGTTAATAGCTTTGAGGTGTGGTAGCTGCTTCAAGATAACCTTTGCTTTGAAAAAAGATTTTACTTGGTTGCATTCCCAATTTCTGAGTGAAACTATAACCCTAGAGCTGCATTAGTTTTGTCCCACAATTCAACACTTAGGCTCCCTTTTGTAATTCAATACTACATTTATTGTTTTTAAGGATATTGCTTAACTAAATAGTATATATCGATGAGATAATAGGTTAAACTGCAGCTACTCTTAGCTTATTGGTTATGACCTGATAAAACTTAGTTTATTAACGGAGAGTTAGACATATACTTCGTACATATGTTAAAATGAACAGGCMGTAGTGACATAACATGATTATATGAGGCTACACTGCAAGTACTAATACTCTTTTGGTCATTGCAATTGTCAGGGTCAACAGCTCTTTCTAGCAAGTGTTTTGGGATGTGGGGTTACTTAAAGCCTTATCCRGCCAGTGTTAATGTTTGAGTGGCTAGGGAGGATTGTCTCGTCATTTTTTTTTTCCTAGGGAGGATTTCTCCAGCTAAATATTAAATTTTACATTTGCCTTTAGTTAAAACTAGCTAAATRTCTTTCTAAAATCTTTATTTTTTGGACTTCTGTTTTTTTTAAAAAGGTTAATGATACAAGTCACTTTAGAGTGTCAAGGGTCTGTGTGTCACATACCCAAAGTATCACAGGATACTGTGAAAGCCACATAGATGTTCACTACCTGGTAGTTTGGAATGCCAGAAAGCAAAGCTGCTACTTTCACTGCTAGGTGCAGGAGAGTGAAGAACAGAAACCCGCTCTGCTCCAGTATTGGAACATTTATTTCTAAGGATGCAATGTATCAAACAAATGGGCCTTATACTGGTTCCTTATTTCATGACAGTACATAACTGGACTTTTTTTTTTTTTTTCTCTGTGAAATATTTTTTGATATTTAAAAGTGATTTCATTTACTGCTCAAGCTGGCATGTCAGTATGAAATGTGCTCTAACCGGCCTGCCAGATTAATCCTTTTCAATAATAACACTAGATATTGTTTTCTTAATGTTGGCAGCAATATTTTCCTCRCAAAGGATGCCTTGCAGTGAAGGCTGGCAATGAGGACTGTGTTATGCTGTGCTATTGTGGGAAAAATCCCAGAAGGCAGTTCATTTATGAAAGCCAAATCCTTTTGAGAGCTTCCCAGCAAGTAAGAGTACAGACATAGGGTTTTAGGTCATGCAGACTTGCTAAGTGAAAGACAGATGTAGTCCTACATCCTGCTTTGTCTCTACAGAGGAATATATAGCAAARAGTCACTGACTCACTCTCCTCTGGAATATCAGGCACTGCCAATTAGTGTATTATAAATTCATGTAAATTATAAATTCAACAGTATAAATTATATCATAGATGATGCCAAGAGCCTTGTCAGCTCGGTTGTTCTAAAAAAAGCCAGGTGTTTAAGAAAAGTCATGAAAGTGTAAAGAAGAGGCATCTTAATGTGAAGCTAACAGTGTTAAAAGCCCATTAGAATGTTTCAAAAAAAATTCAAAAATATATGAACTTGCCGATGTGATGGCAATTTGAATGAAGATATCGAATTTAAATTTGTATGATTAAACCGATCACATCCTTCTTTGTATAATTTCATCTTAGTCCACACCAGGTATATTTGGCTAACTTGGTTAGGGAACAACATACATAGAATGAAATGCAGAACACAGAAACAGGCCAAGAGAGATACCATCTGGCAAGGAGAACAGGCAAGGACAGAGAGGATGGAGGGTGGTGTAGTCTCGTACGACAGAGCAGACRCAGTCAGATATTCAAAGTTTACATGACTCAAACAAAACAGGATTTCAATAAACTCAAATTGAAATATCCAGGCAGAGGGGTAATCTTTCCCCCTCTTTGGAAAATCCTAAGGGATTTTCTCATTCCTTCTGATGAAGTTTCATCAGTTCCTTTTGATGAACTTCTGTTTGAAGTTGCTTGACCAGTCCTCGTCAATGATTTTTTCACAGAAAACATCTCTGGGTGCATATTTTAGTGAAAATATGCACTGTATCAACACTATTTGTGATAAGTGGATCTATGATATTAGAAACATGTTTTACCTTCATTAATAACCAAGATTGTTTATGTTATGTTAACTATTATGCAGTTAACACTCTGCAAATGTCCCTCATTCTATTGCATGGAAATAACAATCTCTGTACTGAAGGCAACAGATATTAAAAGATTATCAATATTTATGTTTTTATGTTTCAGGGCACAACTTAATCACCAGGTACCTCTGATGTCTTTTTCTTTCTCTCAGCATAATGTATCAGAAATACTACTGGGTGGCTAGACTTTGGATCTTTAAGCTCTACCTGAGTAGTCCACTACTCTCCCTAGGTTTTGGAGTGTAGGACAGTACTATGTGGTTCAATGTATCTTCCTATCTTAGAAATGCTTGGTAGAATTGCAGGGGTCAAAACATTTTTCATTGTATTTTCTTTAGTTATACATTTACCCAGGACCCACGGTAATATCATCCACTCGACGATGGTTGGTGGTGGTCCTTGCATGTTCAAGTCAGATCTGTCAATATGCTGAGAGGCAAGCAACAGCAGGAACAGAAAAGTCAAGTAGGATGCAGTATGGCAGATAAATTTGATAAATGGCTTTCTGATGAACAGCCCTAATGGGCTTTTGGGAGCTATCAGGTAGCACACAGAAAAGACTGGGAAAAGGAGTCCTATCACAACACATGTCATCATCTTCACGGCCCAGTGTCGCCTCCTCCATCCAGGGAACTCATCATACCAGCGGGACGCAAGCAGCTGCTGGCAGTTGGGCTGGGCAACAAACTATGAAGAGAAGAAATAAAGGAAGACAGTTATTTCTGTACTACTGTTATTAACTTATTTCCATTCTACATTGGTTGTAGGCCTTTACAGTAAGTCACCTTGGGGTACACCTAAAAAAAAAATCCACAGAATGTGCAAATATACTAAAACTGGTAATATCAGTAAGGAAGGACTGGGTCAGATTGCCCTTCTTTGAGTGAGAAAAGCAGAGTATGAACCCCCTGAAATTGACATCTGCAAAAAATACTTCCATTATTCACCCAGCAACACTAGTGCAGAATTTGCAGAACACCAGGTGAAAGTTATTATAAAAATGAAAAGCATGATGTTTGTTACAAAAGCATAATTGAGCCCTGCAAACAGTGAAACTCAATTTCATGGCCAAAAATGAGCTATCCTCAGTATGTTCCCTGTTAATTCTCTAAAAAACAGGTTTACATACTTGAATAAAAAACAAAACTCTTACAGAATATTATATAATGCTTGCACAATATGAACTAGGCATTAATATTTCCAGTGCTATTTTGCTTCACTAATATTTGTCAGGTTATATATTTATCCTGTACAATATTTTGTGGTCTCTCTGTTCTTCATGATTTAGTTCCAACCGCAAAAATATTATCCTTTAAAATGATATAAAAAAATAAAGTCAATAAATATTTCACATTTTTCATTTATTTTTTGAAAGAGTGTTAGGCATATTCCAAGCTTTTTAGTTATAATTTTATTCGTTCACTTGTTCCTGTTTTTCCTAATTTTTTTTTTTTTACAAAGGAGACACAGAGTAGCAGGACATAGAGCGCTTGAGATAAGATAAGAAAGAAACAACATGCAATCAAAGAAGGCAGATAGTTGTCTCTTTTTTTAGAGAACAGAAGGAAAATAAACATTTTTTCTTCTCATATTACACACATCCATGCATTGGATGGAATCAATAGTTAGAATTAATACAACTACACAGGAACTTACTAGACTTACTAAATAATAAAATAGTTAATTTGCTCTGAAAATTTGATTTGAATTTGAATCCTAATCACACACATACATTGTTTTGAGAACATTTATAAGCACAGAGATCAAGTTCTTATTTGAGATGAGTGATAGGTAACTTCTGAAACAGTTCCTGAAATGCCTGGGACTCCTACCAGGAGAAATGTTATTTAGTCTGGAACTAAATGAAAGTCAGCATGCATCTTTCTATACATGTCTGGATCTTGTCAGAAAATCTTAACCTAAGACAAATTCATACCTGATGTATTTTAATGAAATGACTGAAACATTTGCTTATCACTAAAGCTGACCCCAACTGTTGTGAAAGAAAAGAAAATCTACTCATACTGCAAGAATCTTGAAAACAACCTTAAAGAAGAGCAATATAATGTTTTCTTCCATTAGGAAAAATGCATTTGTAAGGTTTCAAAATACTCCTTTCAAGATACAAATGTCTGGAATAATACTGCCCTCAATTAGAGCAGATGGTTTCTAGGTTGAACAAGTTTAACTCACGGACTAGATACCTAGATTAAATATTTTACTCTTTTTTTCCTAGCATCCAAAAGATCCATGTTTGTTCCTCTTCTTCGTAACACTGTTCTAATACCTATCCTCTTATCTTCTAAAAACAGACTTCCCAAGTCTTGCTTCTGTTCACTTCCTCAACACTTTGGGGCTGCTGTCAATTTTGTGGATCCATATGAAGGAACAATTCTCCTAGTGGATATCCTAAAGACTAGTGCTAGAAGTAGGCAGATCAATCCTTGTCAAGTACAGCTTAAAAGAAATGACCCTTGCTGCAACTTAGAGGAAATGGTGTGAAAGGAGGATTTCTAGCATCCACCAGTACTGGTTTGCTCTGGAGCTGGGTAGACTACAGCAGTTGGAGAGGTAACTTGGGCTGCTGAGATTATAAAGAGMACTTATTGCTGATGCTCTTTATTCAGCCCTTTCATGCAGTTGGGAGAAAATGCTTGCTGACAGCTCTGTCAGGATTTAGTTTTAATCTTTAAACAGATAAAATGTAAAACATACATAAGGAGGTACAAACAAAGAATTTCTGAGCAAGCGTGAAATACTGTTTTTTCTTTCCTAGAACCCCAAATTGACCCTGTTCTGCTCTGACTCTGCTACAATGACAGGACATATGTAAGCTACAAGGCAGGTTTTCTGAACACTGAAAGGTTTTCTTCAGTTCAGAAAATTGTGAAAGCATAATTACCAAAGAGTAAGTTTTTCATATTAGATAAAATTGTGAAAGCATAATTGCCAACGAGTAAGTTTTTCATATTAGATTTTTTTTTTTTTTTAAATAGTTCTCATGCTTTTCTTCAAATTGCGGCTGTTACAATGTGGCAGGACAGACAATATTAGTTAGATCCTTTGACTATAGAGGAAAACTARCTTAAATGATTTTAATTTATTACAGATAATTCTCACCCTAACTCTCATTATGGAAGTTGTTCTAGTAGTGCAGGCAAGAATCTGTAAAAAAAACGATTAAGTGGTGTCTGCAGATGATACACAGCCTTTCTAAAAGATCCAAATACCCAGTTTCTTTCTTTTTTTTTTTTTTTTTTTTTTTTTTTATAACAGCATTGGCAAGACTAATGAACAATTTCCTGAAGCAACAAATCACAATCTCTTCACTGTAGCCTCTCTTTTATATATGTACACACTACGTAAATATAGAGATATTTAAGATATGTGTGTATATATATACATTTGGATGTATACATGCTAAAATACCCATATATATACCCACTTGGATGATCATATGCTAAAACTAATTACACATGTCTCTGGTGAACAAATAATTTAAAGATAATTTTACACAAATATTTTATAACCATCAGAAACAGAAATATGCTGTGACATTATTTTCCAAGTTCTGCTTTGTCCCTGCCAATATATTTTCATAGTGGTATATTTCTTCTTCCTTAACTGGAGATTTTACATTCTGAGGTATTTAAAGTATCTTTTGTACTTCTAGAATAACATTGTATGTTATTTGACTTTGACATTGTCTCCACATAATTAGCAATCAGCATGTTTTTATTTTCACATTACAATGGCTTCGACTAGCTTCCAGCAGTTTTTAATTATGTGAGAGATTTTTCTGTAATGATTATTCCTGAATGAACATCTTCAGATCCTTCAGAGAGCCCACCCTTCTGAAAATGTTTTTATATTAATTCCCTAACTACTGGGAATTAGTTCTTCCCTGAGACTGGTGAAAAACAGAAACTATTTACTGTATCAAGAACCTGGTGTAAGTAATAGTAGTGTCTGATTGAGTGATAATCAAACATACTCACATCCTGAATTTAATTTTTATTGCTGATAGAATCTGATCTATAATTTTCTATAATATTGTAGTCAATAGAAATCATAAAGAGAAAATATTCTTTTTAAGTACAGATTGTCTTTTTTACAAAGAATATATTTTGCATCAATCAATAATCTTTGTAGTATGCTAATATCCTGAAGTACGTATTTCATTGTTTTACAAACTAAACAAAGACATTAAAACCCATAAATAATAGAGCATTCATTTTTACATTTATGAAGCAGCCTAATAAAATCCAAGATCCAGTTTAAATTCTCATTCTGAGCTCAAGRTCATTTAGTGTATATAATACTAAATATAGAAAAGAGAGGAAGCAAAATTTAATGATCATCATAAAATTTTTCAGTGATATTTTTTACAAAATCATGGCTTGGATTCTGTGCTATGCTCCTTACCACTATGATTCCAGCCAAACTGGTAAGAAATGTTAGCACTGAGCACTACTTCATCACACACATTTTTCAATGGTTATTCTAYAGTTCAGTACAAATCAAACTCACTKTTTTTTTTCTCTCTCTCTAAAACATTTTTATCATATTTTATATTTTTTGCCAGATCCTTTATGAAATCTCAGGCTTTTCTAATCATTTTAACTTTAAATTTAGATGTCAGAATTCTCTGTCCACTAGTAGGGAAAAGTATATTTGCTTGGCACTAATGACAGTTTCAGGTCCAGTCTTGTTAAACAGATTCTTGTTCTCTGTAGACTTTTCATGCTCTAGAGATGTCACTACATCTTCAGTATGTGATTTCTTTATATCTTCCTCTAAAGATTATATTTGTCACCTTAGGCACTATCTGTAGGAGGACTAATTCATTGAGGTAAACAATATTTAATTGCAGTTTAAGTGCTTTAACTTGGTTGACTGGATCAGCATTACATTTTCCTTTCCAAAAGCTGGTGACCATGTTCTGGACTGTTGAGTATATATATATGGCCTATTTTGTGCCTCAGGCCAGAAGCCCCAGTTCCTGAACCAATTACTCTGAATCTTCCCATGCCCATCCTGTTCAAGTCTAGTGCCATCTGGAGCAGATTAGCACTATGATTATGATTTTAGTAGGATGCAGACCACCAGGTCATCTTCCTTCTGTTCAGCCTGAGGCTTCATCAGTAAGGGAACCAGCTAGCATGCTTGAGATCAGAGCAATAAGCAAACCAAATCATATATTGTTAGGACAGTCAGATACAGATTAGCTCTCTAGAGCAAAACAAATTCACAAAATAAATGCTTTCATCATAAAATCTAGAGTTCACACTCTTGTCACCAAGATTAAAATAAAATTCTCTTTTTTATTATCATTACAATTGTCCTAATGCTTAACATAGAGTATTAGGAGGAAGAAAACAAAGAAGATGAAAAATTAATAGTGAAGACTTTAAGTGTTTCCTTGAAAGGATTAATGAATATTATTATATAAAGAGAAAGCAATTTTTAATTTGAACATTTTGAATTTCCTTTCAGCTATATCAACACATGCATAGGCTCTTCGTTTCATTCATTGCTACTGCTCAGTAAAATGAATCAACACACACAAAATTATTAAATATCTATTAAATAGGTCAAAACTTATCTATATGTCAGTGATCTGATTAATGGCTTAGGAAAGGCAATAGACACTGAAAATAGAATGTAGCTCTTAGATAGCAGTTATG